AATTTGGTGAAAACTGATACAACTTGAAGCTTATTGGTTTGTGAATATGTTTATTTATTAGGGAAAGAACACCCAACTGTTTCTCAGTGGAAGCAATGATACTAAGAAGGCTACTTAGATACTTAGTTAATGTTAATGATATCTGCTAATGCTTCAATTGTGTGTGACAGAGATGAACTGTTTTAAACGAGTGAATCGAAAAGGTATTGAAGTATCGCTTATTTTGGCATCCTTACCGTACCATCTCAGTGAACAGTGTAAAGACGATGCACACAGTCCAAAACAAAACAATTTTTTAAATTTCTGTTTGTGTACAGATTAAAGTGATGGCATATTAACAATGAGCTTTAGAGGTGTTTGTAGGTGTTACTCTGTCTCTCAGTAAGTGTTGGTGTGTTTCCCAAAATGCTAAACTGTTACTTTACAATGGGATCACATCAGTGTCGTATTGACAACTGCATATGATACAGCTTGACCTAAACTTGACTTGATCTTACCTTGAACTGAATTTATTTAAAATAATAATATTTACTGCTACTAATAGATTATTTCTCTGCTATCAAGAAGTATATGCTCCAACCATCACATTTTAGTCAGAAACATCTCTATAACTATATCTAGATAAAGACAACACTGTCACGACCTCAGTCACGAAGCTGGTGGACTCAAATGCACGACTCTGTGGCAGTAGTGAATATAGCAAAGGTTTACTTCTTGAAAAGATGCACAAACAAAAAGCGCTCTCTAGGAGGATATGAAAAGTAACAAATAAACACTCACAAAACTGAGAACCAAAAAAGACCATAAACTTGACTTGACCTGACAGCGATATGCCGATAAGCACTCACGGACAGAACAAGACGAACTGGTGCAGGACAAAGGGAGATGAGGACCATTTATACATGAGGAAGGGGAAAACAGGTGAAACCAATCACAAAGGCAGGAAAATTGCACAAAGGGAGGAAGTCAGGGTCTTAAACAAGAGGGAAAAGGTGAATACAAAATAAAAAGGGAAGTGCACGACGAGACTAGACATGAGTGAAGTTTAACTTTAGAGTGCTCAAAACACACAAACCTAAACATGAACTAAACTAAGGCATGGCATCCCTCATGTTATTTTCAGAGTGGATACATCACATCCACCTCAACCAAGGTCAGAAAATAGTTAAAACTTTGAGGTTTTTATGAGATGCAACTGCCCTTGTTACACATCGCCATGAAACAGGAAGTTGTTATTGAGGGACTACAGAAATTCAAAACCTCCTTCATCTTACATCCTTGAAGTTTTCAAGGGGGCACCCTCAAGCCATTCTGTCACACCAGTGGTCAACACCCCACACAGATATCCTGTTACTTAATTTTGGATACATTTGCATTGTGAATTATCGAGCACCCCTAGCTAATCAAAAATGCTAAAACTATTTTTGGGGCGCAATTGAGCTTACGTGCCATGACTACACTAAGCTCATACAAGGTTGATATTGTAGAAATAGATCAAGCAAAATGCTATACTGTGATGTATTATTAATCTGTAATTTTCTGGAATGCAACTCTCCCATTCTTTCTTGAAGGTTCAGATGCATAATGGTGATATATACGAAGCCAGCATCAAAGACATAGACAAGAAGTCGGACATTGCTACCATCAAAATCAACTCACAGGTGAGTTCACATCATTTGTCAGGCAGGAAATAGTTTAAATATTAAACAAGAAGAGACGTGTGTTGGCTCAGTGTCTGTACATTGTTTACTGAATAGGTTTTATAAGAGTAGCACTCTGCACTGCTCTCCCTTTCTTTTTCTTTCTTCTGTCACTCTGACGTGACTCTGCTGTTTTTCTGAACACACTTGCACTTTATAACTGAATTAAACTTGATTTTCAGAATTAAGGCTACACTTGAACATTTGAATTTAAAACTGTAAAACTATGGAACCTGTGACACTTTTAACATGTAGTGTGTAAAACCTAAAGATGGGTGACTATCATTGTGACTAATCATTCTCCTCGGCAACATGTTCATGTGTTTGAAAAGTGTTATCTTTTGCAGTCTATATGTAGTCTGTGTGTGCGTGTTCTCCTTTTCAACATTTCAAGCATTTAAAAAAATGTTCTTCCTTTCAGATAAAAATGATAAAATACCATGGTGATTTAAATCTTATCATACAACCAAAAGTTAAAAGTAAAAAACTAAATAACTGATTACAATGATTACAGATTTTACAGAAGCCTTTCAGTTGTCAAGTGTGCGTAAGAATGCTCTTCAGTGTGTGCAGGATCTGTTCTTACCTAAGAAAAAATAAATAAATATATATATATATATATATATATATATATATATATATATATTTTATGTATGGCATGCCGTTCAGGAAATTAAACCTTTGAATATATGGAATGAACCTTGAATACATGGAATGAAACCTTGAATATATTGAATGAAGTCTGAATATATGGAATGAAACCTTGAATACATTGAATGAAGTCTGAATATATGGAATGAAATATGAATATATTGAATATATTGAATGAAGTCTGAATATATTCGTCAGACTTCATTCCATATATTCAGACTTCATTCAATATCTCACTTCTTCTCACCACTAATTGTTTTTTCCTGTCGAAAGAGACTTTATTCTTGCTACTGTTGCAAAGTGCTCACGAGGGAATGTTTGGTCCCTTAAAAGTGTATACAGAGCAGACCTGCCTCGAAATAACTTTTTATGATATGACGCTAAATAAATACATTTGATTGTCTTCCACTATACCCTACTACAGAGATGTCTTACCCTGGCCCACTTTATATGTTTATTCCTTACCTCTAGACGAAGCTGCCCGTATTGTTTCTGGGACACAGTGCAGACCTGAGGCCAGGAGAGTTTGTGGTTGCGATCGGCAGCCCCTTTGCCCTCCAGAACACTGTCACCACTGGCATCGTCAGCACTGCACAGAGAGATGGCAAGGAGCTGGGCCTGCGGGACTCTGACATGGACTACATCCAAACTGATGCTATTATCAATGTAAGATTTTAACATGGTAGAAAACATGTCATCTCAAAAATATAAAAATGATGGTTTTACATCACAGTTCCGGTAATCTTTTATTTTCCTTCACAGTATGGGAATTCAGGCGGACCTCTTGTCAATTTGGTAAGTTCTTTACCGAAAGGATTTCATGTATGCAGTAAAATACTTCTCTCTGTCTTTTTTTGTAAAACCTACAACACAAATTGCATGACAGTAGTATTTGCATTAGCAGTGGCTTGGCCCTGGCCGGAACAGGTTCTTAAACTCATGTTATTAATGACGTCTGTGTTTACCTACCTGTATTTGAGGATGGGGAAGTGATTGGCATCAACACCCTGAAAGTTGCAGCAGGAATCTCATTTGCCATTCCCTCTGACAGGATCACTCGCTTTCTTAATGATTCCCTTGACAAGCACAACAAGGGTGAGTCTGACAGTGATGGTTAGACATTTGAGTATCCTTCTAAATATAAATCAACTGACTAAAGTTTCTTTCAGATGTAAGTGTAATAAAGAAGCGTTTCATTGGAATCAGGATGCTGACAATCACACCAGCGTAAGTCTGAACTCAGGAGACAGTTTTGTTTCAATGGGAAATACACAACACACAGAACAGTGGTTTGTAACATACGTACGGCAGCAGCTGCATCTTGAGTCTCACAATAGGAAGTAGGTCCAGTAAGATATGTGCTTGCATGTATGCGACTGGCCACTACAGTGCCTTGCCAGATGATATCATGATGTGTTGACGAAAACTGGGGTTTGTTCAATGGACAACCATCAAATAGTCCGTCCCCTCAGCATAGTGAATTTATATAGATAATCTTGTATGTCCTTGAAAGTCTTTTCAAATATCATGTTGTGTAAATAATACTGGTTATAATCTGTCTGCCTACCTGTGGGGATGCAATGAACTTGCATGTATCCTAGTGCTTACATACTTTGGATACTACATATCAGTAAAACTGAGTAAAGGAGCTAATTGCTTTCTCTTCCAACATCCTATGGCAGTTACATTTAAAATAGCAAAATTTGAACTGTTGCTGTACAAACTAGTTTTGTATTTTTTTTGATTCTCTGTATCGTAGAATCTCTGAGTTACTGTTTTAGTCTAGTCTTTTTTTGTTTAGAGAGAGGAGCGCGTTGGATTGTTGGGTGTCATTTAGGTTGGTCGTAGAATTTACATGTATTTTATGAAAATATATTATATTAATTTCTGTCCGTTTCAGGTCTTGTAAAATTGTTTGAAATAAAGTGTGTGTGTGTGTGTGTATGTGTGTGTGTGTGTGTGTGTGTGTGTGTGTGTTTTCCAGGTTAACTGAAGAGCTAAAACAGCAGAAACCAGATTTCCCTGATGTTACTAGTGGTATTTATGTACATGAGGTTGTTCCACACTCACCTGCACAGAAGTAAGTTTCATTTATTCATTCTTTAAACAAATAGATATCATACAGAGTTTATCTGTCATTTCTGGAGTATAAAGAATAATCACTATCTCTTCATTCGTCTCTGACTCCAGAGGTGGTATCCGAGATGGTGACATTATTGTGAAACTAAATGGCAGACCACTGATGACAACAGCTGACCTGCAGGGGGCACTGCAGGAGGAGACAGCCTTGCTACTGGAAGTCAGGAGGGATAATGACGACCTGCTCTTTAACATCGAACCTGACATTATTATGCAGTAGACAGTGTCGACGCAGCACTGCTGCAGAGTTAGACCAACAGCTAAGGCCCTATTGTGTTAAAAGAACATGGTGCATGGTAGAACTTTAGGACAACATGGTACAACGCAATTTTGGCATCAAGGTTTTACAACTGCCCACCCCCTACCTCTGTCAGGTACCCTGCAGTAAACCACACCCATTTAATGAATGTTAACTATTTGCTTCTTTTACAATGATAGTATATTTTTCACTCAGTACATAGATTTAAATGAAGCTTAAAAATAACTAAACAACAGCTGTTGGGCAGCATTTTGTGGTGTACATGCGGAAAATGAAAGTTGTTTCATGTACTGTTAAATTGATGAATAAAATGTCTAAAAATTCTACTTAAAAATGTCAGTATGTAATAATTAGGATCTTTCAGTTTATTTTTCCAGAAAGGGTATCAGGTTCGTATACATTGTATAATTCACAGCACTGCCATGCTTCCACTAATATATGCATAAGTAAAGAGCTAATCCCCCCATCCACTGTTCCATGACCAGGACAGACTCCCTGTTGCTCCTCAGAACTGTATATTGTATTGGGTGCAAGGTCCCTGCCATCATCTGGTAAATCTGGTATTTCCTCTGAACTTCACCTGATTGAGAGATGCAACAAGGGTCTCTAGCTGGATTCGTTTCCCTATAATATTGTACTCTCTCAACCTTACTATGTAAAGTGCACTGAGGTGATGTGTGTTTTGAACAAATACAATTAAATTGATGTCCAAACTCAAACCCACATTTGCAGGATGTGCGGGTGCAGTGGTGTAACAAAACATATCCCAGGTATGTTGAACTTGATCGCGTCATACTATGGGCCCTAGCTTTATTTATTTCCCAAATAAAGAACCAGCGCTGTGTATTTAATCGTTTTTCTGAGCACAAACAGAATATACAACTAGTGGGCCGTAAGGAGATATTAGCTGAATTTTACAAGTGTACAAAGCAAAATCAGCATACCCCAAATTATCTCTTATCTATGTCCGTTTTGATTTCAACTCTTTGAAGTGTCTATATGGGTCCACACTACAGTGTTGATTTAACTCTTTTTGGAGAGTTAGTACCATAACACTAATTAAGTTTAATTATTGACACTTTTTGGAGTGAACAATTCTTC